CCAAATTTATGATATCGGTATCGGACATAAAAAAGTGGTATCGTGCCATCTCTAGAACAAAGTGAACCACAGCGCTGCACAGGCATTGCCTTTGTTGACTTATTTAACATATTCCATGGAAAATGTGGTTCTTACAATGCTTTCATTTCCACCAGGTATTTAGATCAGCAAAGGGTTTTGTTGCTGTCCCAACTCAATCACAGAACAATGGTATTGTATTAGGTAATCCTAAGTGTAAAAGCTTTATTTTGACAGCTAAACACTGGCAAATCATAACAACAATAGTTGCCTCATATTTTAAAGTTAAAAAAAAAAACCCAAAAAAACCCTGCAACAATAGAGCAAAACCCTCAACAATCAGATGACCCCCTCTGAGCAAAAATAACAGGTGATAGTGGGAAGGGAGAACTAGTGTTTACCACTCTCAGAGAGATACAACCAACATTAGCTCATTAGAAACATCTTTATTGCATTTAAAATCATATATTTGCTCTTGCTGCTAAATGCAAACGTTAATTCAGGTGTCCAGGTAGAAGTCTGTTTAAAATGAAAATTGAATGTTAGTTTGTAGAATAAATTCCTACAAGTCATGAGTTGAAGAGATTATTATAAACAAAAAAATGTGCATGTCATATCAACGCTCCTTTTAAAGGCTAAAAAGACCAAATTATTAACTAATATGATTTGTCTCTAGTATTTCTCTCTAAATAAATACCTGATCTATGCATCCTGATTTTTTTTTAGCATTAAAAGTGTTCTAGTTTATTAAAGTTGCTTTAGGATTCCATTTGAAGACTGTTACCACCCCATCCACCCATTTATAAGCAAGGCTTATATCACTGTGGAGAAATTCTTTTCCTTGGTAGGGTCACAAGAGTCTCAGAGGTCACTCACCGCTGTTGGAGCCTACATGTGAGGAAATAATGACTTAGCATCTGTCATGTGAGTCAGTATTTAAGGACAAGCATAGCTGACGCGCCCTTTCTCCTTTGTATTCTTGTATTCCAACAACAGTGTGTGGGGAGGAAATTCAAATATACATGAATGGCTTTCCTTTGTGCGAATGCTCCCTGTTGACATAGTTGCTTTGAGTCGAGCTCAGTGCTATAAAAGGCTGTGGAAAAAAACTGAATGTCTTCAAATAACCCTCATGATGAACCTGGTGTTGAGTCCACATGACTCATTTGACCAAAAGACATTGACTAATTTATGGATGCTTCCCAATATTTATTTGAAATAAAAAAAATGTAGCAGTTCATTTTCCTATTTGTAAACATTATATGCCATGTACTTGTAATGTTATCTACAGAAGAGTTGTGAAAAGTTATAGAAAACTTTTGATGCAGATATAATAATAATAATAATAATAATAATAATAATAATAATAATAATAATGATGATAGGACATATATTTCAAAGAGAATGCAGGGTTTGATTCACCGGCCGCATTTGGCTACTTCTGATGTACAGCATGTATGCAAAGTTCATTGAGCTTTTTTATATGTCTGAAGACGTCTAAAAGAAGTTTGAAAAGTTACCTCCTTCTGGGATGATCCTGGCCTCTGCAATGAGGAGATGGAGAAGGAAGGGGGGAAGGGAGAGAGGGAGAAGGGGGGAAAAAGTTAACATTTCAGGCATTCCTTGAGCACAAAGATGGGATTCAGGTCTGGAAAAGAGAGCTTTTTCCTAGGGGACTACAAATACCTGCTGCCTCCTCAAATATTATTGTTAACTATTCACACACAGACACGCACAAACAGACTAAACCAGAAGGAATTCATCATGGAGACTCAGTCAGAGTCCTCTTTGTACACAAAACAAATCCTCTCCAGCAGCACTGTTACATCACATGATTTCCAGCTATTTTCACCGACATTTCTACATGTACATATATCAAACTTAGTGTTAAAACTTATTAATGTTTGCACTGCATGAATAAACTCAACTTTAGCTACAACACACCAACTCTTGAATTCAAGGGAACATATTTTCTGTGGATTAAAAAAAGAAAAACTCACCACTGAGATGACAGGCAAAGAGGCAGAAGACAATACCGAGCAACACCAGCAGCTTCATGTCGCCCTCCTAAATGAAGAAAATGCCCACCAATGCTGTAGTTTGTTTGTTTTTTTTGTCTATGTTGCAAAAGTGAAATCTCTTAAACAATAAATAAAGTGAATATCTTGATATATATACTAGAAATCTTCTGAAACCAGAATCAAACTCTGCAGCTGTTTACCTGTGAATAGTCTGTGAAGCTGTGCAATGAGATGCTGCTGATCTTCTGCTGGTTCACTGAGGTCTGTGGTGTGAGGGGCTCAGTGAAGGAAGAGGCAGCCGACCTCCAAAAACACACTTAAGCAAACACACACATGCAAGCACATAACCCCGCCAGGTCTTGCCCAGATTATACTGTACCCTGTGTACTCAGAGGGGAGCTGTCCTCATATTTTCACAAATATTTCTCTCAGCTGTGTACACATCGCACCTACTAAAAAAAGAAAAAGAAGAAGTAATTTGATTTGTTTTGAATTTCAGGCTTATTTATAGCTGTTTAATTTGGGAGGAAAGTAAAAAATTGCACACAGTAGCAAGTTGGTCCTTCTGGACCACCACTGCTACTGATCGAGTCTAATAGTTAATGCTGTAAAACAGTTTTACTTCTGATAAAGTAGAGCTGAGCTGAATGGCTTTTATCATTTTTAAATGATTATTCTTTGTTTATAGAAATAAACAGACAAGCATTTTTTGATAAACAGATAAACATTTTACCCCAACAAAACCTACTGCAGCAACTGTAATGTAAACCGAGGTGTAAATTCTGATTAAAACACCCAAATAAAAACTGGGAAAGAGAAAAGGCAGCATGAATGGCCACAAGTGTAAATCTCTCCTGACTCTTTTAGTAGAGCAGTAACATTTGGTTCCCCATAATAAATATTTAGTTCCCTGTATAAATAGTCAATGAACTGGTGATCTGCAAACATTTTTTTTATTTTATTTTAGTCACATTTTTAAGGATGAAGCCAAATATTTGCTGGTTCCACATTCTTAAACTTGACAAATAAAATTGTCACCATTAAAATTAAATGGCACCCTCACAGCCCCACAAGCTACGCGTCTGGTGCCTTCTTCACTAATCCAGACACAATTCTCAGTCCATGTCTCAGCTGCCAGTTCAGAGTTGGCTAGTTCTGGTTGCCACTCAATCCCAGGACTGACACAGAGAAACAGGCAGGCATTCACATGCACATTCATTTATAATGTCTTTAAAGCAACATCTTTGTGATGTTTTCATGCCACAAAGAAACCCCTGCATCACAGTGCTGCAAGAATAATCTGTCGACTATATAAAAGTGAATACTATCTCTCT